ACAGACAAGAAAAAAAAATATTGCAATGAATAGAAAAAAGAAGTATAGAAGAAGAAAAAAAAAACGCATACAAATGTATTGCCATTTTGAATGAAAACAAAAATAAAACAGAATAGGACAACAAGATTTTTATAGCAATTAACAAACAATAATCTTTAATCGGAAAGATGTTTATCTTATAAGATAATTGATGATTTTCTTTGTCAGTTATTCAAATGTACGTGTTGATGATATGATTGACTCGTGATTCAACATACCAATTTCGAAGGGGCAGAGTTCGAGTCGGAAAATTTAAGGCATTAGACAGCAGAGTGTCGCTTATTGTTCCATAGTAAGTCTTCTTGTCTAGATGTCACACATCATCGGTCACAGGAAGAAAATAACTGCTATGGAAAAAAATTACTATTGATCTCATAGAACAAATAATGATAATGTTAAAAAAATTTCATAATGAACAAAAAACATCTATAAATTTAATTCCAATAAAAAGGTCTTCTTAAAGTTCATTCTTTTGTTTTCATCACAACTGTTATCGAAATGACTGTAAAGTACAAAGGTTATTTTTATTTTATGACCATGAAATCAGTAGTGAAAACATGTACATTTGTGGCCTTTTTAATCGCAATAAATTATAGATAATACTATATGTTTGTGGCTGTAAATAAGAAGACTATGGACTATCTATGATGCATGTATTTTTTTCTTACTACTGTATGCCAAATTTCGGTTTGACTTTTTGATTTCATCGCATGCATCATATATCTTGTTCGTTTGCATATCAAATGTTGACTAAAATGATCATATAAATTTTTTTTGTCTTACCTGAGTCATATCAACTAACATCATCTCTTACAGATAAATATAGATGATAGTTCAGTTTATGTTTTACAAGAAATATTGAAAGAAATTAATTTATTTGAATGTATTTTGATAAATATGTATTGATTCGAAAAGATTTATGCACTAAATAAATTTTACATTGATCATATTCAAAACACAACATACAAGTAAGACTTACAAATACATTTCAGTTAAAATTGAAAAACTTGATTCAGTAGGAAAAATAATGACTATGCTGAAATAACATTAAAAGTCAATCATACGCGTGATTACCAAATGCATAAAGAGTGTTTCACAAGTATGGACCTCATTTTTCTTCTTTTTTTTGCCATATTTGAGCATTGACACGATATACTTTTGAAGAGTAGCATCTAAACTATCACCCAAGAGAACTAATACTCAATTTGCATCAACCTTAAGAGTGTTGTCTTAGTAAAAATATTGAAAAGATTATATCAAGTTTTTTTCTACTTTTAATATCAATATTTTAAAATATGAAAGATATTGTAATGGAAATCTATGTCGAAAATATCAGTCTCACAGGTGAATTAATCTTATCGTTATTTGATATATGTCAAAATAAGAATATAATTATAAATAACAGTCAATCGAACACTCAATACAAGTCACTTTTGTCGTTCTGTTATTATAGACCGCTAACCATGTGAGAGAGACAATTTGAACATCCATGTTTCATGTGTCAAAAGAATTCAATTAAAACTTTTCAACTTGTAGTGACATTCAGTAAGTCATAATGAGCCATTTTGACATCCTTCGTGTCAATCTTCCATTCATATACCTAATTTCTTGTGAGACACATCAATTAAAATATGTTGTCTTTAAATTTCTATCCATCTGGTTCGAGCATGATGTTATCTCCTACATGTACGTCAAAAACAAATTTTTCCTCATTTGAATAGCGTACAATAAAAGTGACTAATAGTTGATAACTGCTATTTTTTCTAATCGTAACAGAAAAAAACTTGATAAAAAGTTTTCAATATTTTTACTAATGCAACATTGAATGCAATTTCTCTTGAATGGTACACTTAAATGCTACTATTCAAAAAATATCGTCAATGTCTATTCACCTTTAAATATGACAAACATTTAAGAAAATACAAATGGAGACGATACTTATGGAACATTCTTTATTATATTTCAAATGTTTACACATATTAGAAATATCAACAAGGATCAATTCAGCGAATGATATAATTTTTTTTTGTCAACAAAGGATGAATAAAATAAGAAGGAGATTACATCTTTTCACGATTGTATGGTATAAAGTACTGTCATGAAACAGTTTTTCTTAGGTTGATATTTTTCCTATTAGTTATATTAGCTACATCTCTGGACAAAAGATTAAACTAACTTAGAGTTCTTCTGCTCAATCGCTTGAGTTTTTCCCTACATATTAACTAACGGGATACTAATCACAATAATCGATATATGCTTGAAAATAAGCAATATGTTATCGGATGAGTGCTTCGATATCGACAGTCGAAAAACACTTAGTCAAGGTTATTTGACGAATAACAACGCCAATGTTCTAATACAATCTTTCTGAGAGAGAGAATAAGTCGAATAACTTAACCAATAGACCATAGAGACCTTCAACGAATAATTACTTTGTGTTTCTTTCTTACAACTATTGTGAAATGATTTACCTTTTATTTTTTAAAATCTAAGCTTTCTGATATGATTAGAACATAATCTATTTTGGACGAATAACATTCTTACTGATTGAAGGACCGTATGCCTACCAAATAATTATGATAAACATCAAAACTTCTCATTCTTGGCTCAACGTATGAAAAAACTGAAATTATAATTATGTCTCTGACTAATTGAAGAAACTTGTTTCGTCTCATTAATTTCTTTTTTCCTTCGAGCAAAATTTAATTTCTACGATACTAATCAAAAGATTGTTACTGGTAAATAACGATTTGATTGCATAGACTATCATATATGCATGTAGCAAAAATATTCATATTTGATAAAACAATTTAAAAACGAAAATGATTAAATATTGTCTTTGTCTAATTGATGAAATACGTAAGGTGGTGCAGAAAAAGTTTAATAACAATGTATTTTTCTATAATGTTAAGCAATTACTTCAAATCTAGATAGTGCTTTTAAAAGCTAATGGAGTTGTCTTTTACCAAGATTTCATAGATAAAGTACAATGACAAGGTTTCAAAACAATATGGACACTGTAGTTTTTAGGTTCCACAAGACTTTCGTCAGAGCTGTTTTGTAACAATGTCTTTTTGAAGAGAACAAAATGAGGATTCATTCATGAAATTTTGGTAAAAGAAAAATTCATTGACTATTAAAATTACTATCTGAATATGAGCTACATGCTTAACATTATTAGAAGAAAAAAAACGTTGTTGTTAAAGTTTTTCTCACCACCTTATATTATAATAACTAATTTTCTGAATAAAACGAAAATGATTTTCTTTTTCAAAAATATACAATACAATCAAGATTTTCATACAAGCTCTAACGATTGAAACTGAACAGCTGTGAAGTAATCGATGCTACGTAGTTAAAGGTAACATATGAAACAAATGTTGAATATCTCTAACGTGTTTCATGATGACTATACAAGAATAGAATAGAAATGTATGCCATCATGGATTAATAACAAAAGATGAGAATTCTTATCGATTATTTTTTTCGAAACTTTATTTTAATTTTTTCAACGGTCTATTTCTTTTATCATAATAATCCGAGCTTAAAATTCTCTAAACAAACAATCTTTACAAGAAAAATCATGAAAACTTTTAACTTCTGACAATCAATCATAATAACTATTCAATTCTGTTTTTGAGAACCGAAATATGATTTCTGTTTTTTTTTGTTCTACGAAAATACTTTATTTCTCTTGCTTTATCATATTTTGATCCCGAACTTTGCACGATCACTTATTTGTTAACAATCTTATTTTTTATCATCGTTTTGTTGTTGATTATATCAGTTATTACACAAACCATTGTCATGCCATTCGACAGAGTATTCATCACATGATTTTCATTTTTATAAGATTGAAATTTCTGATACAGAGGATTAGAGAAACGTTATTTTGAATATTAATCCTACAATAAATATATAATTTAAATCGAATAAATTATATTTAAAATAAATGATTGTTATCGTTCATTGTAGCGAATATTAAGTAAACAAAATAAACTATATAATTTTGATAAATAAATCTTTACTTATCATTTCAATTATCATGAAAATTAATTTAATAGAAAGAGTAACTTCTTCTGAAAATGTGTAATCTTTACTTATTTGAAGCACTATAAAAAGAAACTTAGTAGAATAAATTAAAATAAACACAAGAATATGAACTTAGTTCTAAGCGATTGCATATTTGACATTCACACCCTTTTTATGTTACAAGATACTATCAAAATACTGTGTTATTTTCATTACACCATAAAACATAGTTTTTTTTTAAATTGTAAATATTTTGTATCACTCTGTTTTTTATTTAGGGAACTTTATTACCTAAAATATTTTCACATGTACTAAGATGATTGAATATGGTCAGGAGTGTTACGCGAGGTAGCCAAGATTGAAGGGAGAGTGACTTTCTTGTTTGGAATATCTGTAAATACAATATTATCGATCAAATTTTTATCTTAACGGAATTCACACCAAGATTCTGTTGATAACAAATAATTGTATTGATTGGTTGCACAAAAAAGGTTACAAATAGTAGAGTATTGAAAAATAATTTTGTAACAGAAATTAACAGTGAATTGAAGAAAAAATACAAAACCGTTCTGGATTAATAGTTTTCTAATTATCAAAGATATCTAAAAAAGATTTTTATTAAGCAATTGATAATGTCTACCATGTATATAAATGTAAATATAATCCAATAATTTTTATCTATAAAATTATTTTGATGTACGAAAATTAAAATCATTTTAAAACAAATATTAAATTGAATAAATTCTAAAAATATATATATATATTTTCTATTACTTTTCAACGAAGAATAAGAAACAACATTGATTATCCAATGTCTTTGTTTCTTTTTTTATTCGTAGTCATAATGAACTTTTTTTTGTTTTTCTTTTTACAACATAAATCATAACAAATATAATAAAAACAATATTAATCATTTTCTTTTCTTATTGTTAGTTATTCTTTTTTCGTTTAAGTTCATTTAGAATTGTGCATGAAAGCATATGAAAAGATTCATTTAGTGTATAGCCGTTTTGTCCTTGACTAAAATCCATTTGATTTAATGCACCAAGAACATGTACATATGAACAAGCAATACGTAATATTGATAAACGACTTAATTTTGGTTGATCACCATACATAGGTATAACTTGTCTTAATGCTTCAAATGCTGCTGTTAAATTATGTACACGTTCACGTTCACGTGCATTGGCTTCTAAACGTTTATTATGACTCAAACGTGGTCGTTTTGATGATATATGATGATGTGGAGTAGAAGATTCTTCATTCATATCGATACAACTTTCATCATTATTATTTTCTTGTTCATCCATTTGATCAAATAGTGGTAAGTTAGATAATTCGTCATCGGTAGAAGTCATTATAGAAGTAGATGGTTCTTCGACTTGTATATGTGATGTACTTGTTGTTATTTGATTCATATAAGATGTTTGTATTGATGGTTTAATAGTTTTTGATGGATGAGCTGCTTTACGAGATCTTTTCATTCGATTCGAATGCGGCATAGATGCTATTGGAAGATTTATTGTGCTATCAACAATACGATTGTTATCAAGTTCGATTGGTTCTAATTTTACCGTTGATGAGCTGTAAAAAACGAAAAAGAAAAATCAAAGTATTAAGGGATTTTTGTTTCTTCTTTGGTTCTGTTTCCTTTTCAATTTAAGTTAGATTAAATGGCTTACTTATTCATTTTTTTTTTGGTTATTAACTCTATTTATGACATTAATATTACGTTCGTTGAAATTTGTCACTGCCGGTTTTTTTTTTACTTGCAAAGGATGATCAATGACTGAAAGGAATAGAACGGAAGTTCGACCGGCTGTGTGTCTTAACAGATTGTGTTAGAGCACATACCCATTTCTTTTGTTTCTCCTGTTACATCCCGATTGCCGCCTGCTTCTATTCCTGCTACTGTTTTCTTTATTCTTTCTTTACTACGTTCTCAGCATTCAACACCCACATATACAACAGCCGTCATCACTGACTAGTCTATTCGCATGATGATTACTTGCAACACATGTTCACTATAAAGAAAGACTGGAAGAGAGACAGAGGAATGGAAGCATACTGCTGCCATAAGGGATGGTTACACACACACACATGCGAACGTGAAAGCATTTCTATTCGATACTTTCTTTCGTTCCATTCTCCTTCCTAGGACAACTTCTATTTATTTGCTTCTTTTTTTTTACCATTTGTTTGATGTCATGCCATAACTATGCGTTTAGGTTGATAATCTACTAAGAGAAAAAAATATTGGCAATCTGTTGAAGCGCATGCTAACAGTAACCAGACATGTAGTGTTACTTTTCTCATAAAGAAAAATCAAGAATTAGAATAATTCAGTTGAAAAGAAATTTGTCTCTGTAAATTATAATAGGATTAATAAGATTTTAAAAGAATTTAATCTCTTATATTAAATTATTTATCAATCATAAATTAAAAGAATAATGTTAATGTTGATAATAAAGTAATATAGTATTTTAAATTTGCTTTCCAATTGATTAATTTAAGCAAATTATTGATACTTACGGAAATATATAATTCTATTATTAAATTGTTGTCAAACGTAGAAGAAAAACACAAGAAATACTTTTTTTTCACCAATCAACACAATAACATTTTCTGCGACTGACAATGAAAATGTACTCAAGAGTAACAAAAAAAAACAAATGGCTCATTGAGAACGAAAAAAATAGCAGAACTTTAATGTTTTAATGGAATTATTCTTTTGTGTTCTTGTTTCTATACGCCCGAATTGAAACAAAAAAAAAAACTTCATTTTGATAGACTACAGATATACTTGTTTGTAGCACGGTTATTAATAACAAATATGACTGATCTTAGTCAACCAAACACAAAAGATCATGATCAAAAACGAACCGTCGAACATCTTCATCGTTCATGTATGAATAATAATTAATTTATTGATAGATTTTTTTCTTCTCTTGTTTAAACATCTTATAACTTTGTTTGTTTGTTTTTAGTAAAAGAAAATTGGACAACGGGTATTATACGTGATGAACTAGCACTTCTTGATTTATTAAGTAAGTAAACTTCAGTTTTCTTTTCTGAATCTAATCTATTCAAATATAGAGACAATTTTTAATATTCTTATGAAAGTTTCTCTTTTTTCCTTTAATATTTATTAATTAATATTATCTATAGATAAGAAATTTATTTCTAAATTATATTAATATTAGCAACGGGTCGTCGACGAATACCTGATAATGTAATTGAAACAGAAATGCAACATGAATTTAAAAATCCCAAATTAAAAAGTATACAACATTTAAAACATATTGAACAAAATCGATTTGGTCGGTATGCTTATACACCAAGACAAAGTCCACCGAGAGGAGCCGGTAAGTTAATTATATATTAGAGAATTTAATAACTGTCTATAATAAATTCTCTTGTTTTTTTTTGTCTTTTAATTTAGTACCAACATTCAATGATAAAGCTTATCCTGAAGTCATTCCACGATTTGATTTACCTAAAATGCCATTTTAAATTTATTTTTTCTGTAGTCTTTTTTTTCTTTCGTTTGTTCATAATAATGAGCAAAAAAACGAAAATAATGTTTAAGAAATCCATTGTGCACCAGACGGACAAGAATTCATCAGACCAATTGAATTGGATGGAGAAACAATAGGTTGTTGTGGTGCTATAACAGTTTGAAAGCCACCACCACATATACTAAGTGGTCGTTGAACACATTGACCATTTGGTAATTGTTGTATGATTTGCTGTTGAACACATTGACCACTTGGTATTTTTTGTATGACTTGTTGTTGTGATTGTATACATGGAGATGGTGGTAGAATAATTCCTGGTTGACAATCAAGTGATTCTGTTTTTTGAATTTGACCAGGTTTTTGAAATATTGTATTTTTGGCAACATAACCCTTTAGATAGACAATAGATATTGCATTGATATCTAAAAAAAATATAGTATTAATAAACATACTACAGGTACTTGATCAGTATAAAATTGTGCTGGTGGATAAATATCTTGAACATATTCAGTTATTTGAAGTTGTGGAGGTGCTGGTTCTGGCACTGGAAATGGAATAATGATTGGTGGCAATTGATCTGGAATCGGTGTAACTGATCTACATCGCCGTCGATGACGACGGTGACGACGTTTTATATATATAGGTTCGTCAATACAATCTTCTTGTGGATAACAGCATGGAGGAGCATAATACTGCAAGGAAAAACAGATTGATGATGAACAGATCCGAATATATATATATGTCGTATCAAAGTTACACCGGTCGACAAAGTTATAACTTTGACAAAAATTTCATCAAAGTTACAACTTTGACAAAGATAATCGTCAAAGTTACAACTTTGACGAAAATGTTTGTCAAAGTTACAATTTGTACATTTTATCTTAAATTATCTATTAAATTGAATCTATTATTTCATTTTATCTATGATCATAACTAAGCTTTTGGTAATAAATATATATTTTTATTTAACAAGCTTGTTAAATAAAAATATATATTTATTACCAAAAGCTTAGTTATGATCATAGATAAAATGAAATAATAGATTCAATTTAATAGTTAATTTAAGATAAAATGTACAAATTGTAACTTTGACAAACATTTTCGTCAAAGTTGTAACTTTGATGAAATTTTTGTCAAAGTTATAACTTTGTCGACCGGTGTAACTTTGATACGACATATATATGGTTTTGATATGAAACTTATTCGTTACATACCTCCTGCATACGGAATTGGTATTGTTGAGGTGTTTGCATAGGTACTGGTACTGGTACAGGAACACATACTGGCTCTCGTATTATAATAGGTTGAGCTACTGGACATGGTTGTGGGACTGGTACACACACTGGAACAGGTACCGGACATGGAGTCTCTACCGGAACTGGTACAGGCTGTGGAACAGGTACAGGGTGTGGAACAGGTATAGGGTGTGGAACAGGTACAGGACATTGGCGTTCTACTGGTACTGGTATAGGTATAGGTTGTGGCACGGGTACAGCACATGGACATTCTATGGGTATTGGCACTGGCCTGGGAAAAGGCACACCATAAGGTCTCGGTATGATAACAGGCTGAATTGTATGTGGAATAGGCATATCAACAGGCTGTATCATATTTTGAAGAAAAGGTTGTGGTACAGAAACAGGACAAGGATAAGGCTGTGGAACAGGTACATCATATGGACACATCATTGGTTGTGGGCACATCATTGGTTGTGGGCACACCATTGGTTGTGGACACATCATAGATTGTGGATACATCATAGGTTGTGGACATATTGGCATTGGGCATGGCAATCCGCAGCCAAACATTTTGAATCTTTTTTAAAGACAATTAAGTCGATGTTTAAATTAAGATTAATTTATACAAAAAATAAGATATGACTCTCATATATCAAGCGTCACTTGAGCCTGTATGTATCAAGGGAAAATGGCAGTATGTCTTGTTTCTCAGTATTTGTAGCCACTTATAAGGAGACGGACAAATTTTGAATTAATGAAACAATTGATAATTTAAGTGTGCTCCTCTCTTATAATTATAATTGCCATTTGAACGTAACATAACAACTGAGAAGAAAAAAGAAATTACATACCTAGAATGAATAAAAGAAAGAAGGCATCGATTCGCATCATTGATTCCTCATATACATATTCCTACACATATGAAAAAAAATGAAGGCGAGACAGTATATATTTGTTCAATAAAATTGGTAATTGTCCTTGATCAAAATAGCAGATAGCAAAAATGCCCTGTTCATTTGAATGTATTCTCTTATAATTTGTTTCTAGTCAATGTTTATATAATCAGTTTTGTTGTTATGCGTTATACACGCATGACTCTGTTGATATACTAGAACATCATGTAAGTGACCAAATATTCATCGTTGTTTGAAAAGAACCAAAAAACCCTAAGAAGAAACCTTCAACAAGAGGTTGCGATCAGTTAAAATATATCACTGTATCTTATACCTTAATATTCAAGGTTTTTCTCTCACTATTTCAAGTTCATATGCATATTCATCATAACCTTGCTTTCATCCGTGACGTGATAGCGGTAATATTAAGAAAAAAGAAAGAAGATCAAAGCTAGACAAACATACAAACTTCTTTTATTTATACTTAGCAAAAAAAAATGAATGGAAAAGAAAACAAAAAACAGGATAAAAGGCTTTTTTAGAATAATAATCAAATACGAATAAGCATACACCTGAGAAAAAGAAATGAGAAAATAAACTAAAATTTTAATACTGTTTTCGTTTTTTTTTTTTTTTTTTTTTTTTTATTTTGTTTTGTTTTAATCATCACCGGACATTGATGTTAGTCATTATTATGAACATTTAAAAGTTTTGTCACGTTGAACATTATAAACATAATAAAGTAAATGTTTATTATCCCAAGCAAATATTTTTCCTTCATATGGATTATATGTTAATTGAACTAAAAATTGAAATGGTACAGCAAATTGTATTTTCATTGTTGTAAATGCTAAATTTGAATATATATCATAAACAGTATCAATATAAGAATGTTGTTTATTATAATGTTGTACACCATAAAAAACGCCATATGCAATAAAACCTTGACTTAAACTTGATGGATTATATGGTAATATCCACATTTTTTGTGTATCTAATGTATCAGGATTAATTTTGGCTGCTATAAAATTTCTTGTATGTTGTTGACGATATAATAACCAAAGGCCATTTTCATCTATTGAAAAATCATACCAACTTGATTGTGGTGCATTATAAAGAGGTTCACGACTAGCAGCTATTTCAACATTTTGTGCTTCTGTTTCCGACACAAGATCAATACGTATAATTGTATTTTTATATTGAACATTATAAATAAAACTTCCCTGATAAACAACATGATTAACACCTGAATATGGATATGGTAATGTTATAATACGATTAGGTGTATCATTAATTAAATCAGCTTCACTATTATATTCATATAAAAGTGTACCAGTAACATGTCTTGTAACATAAACTTTTTGAGCACCATTTGCAGTTTTAGGCATTGGATCTTTAAACCAAGCACCAAATGTAAAATTATCTTCTTTCAGAAGAACAGGTGTACCAATAAATGAAAATACACATCCTAAATAAAACGAATTCATTTTTGATAATTTTATATAAAAATTTAATTAGTTATAACATACTTTGTGCACGACGAAGAACGGCTGGTGTTTGTTTTTCAAAAAAAAAATAAAAACAAAAGAATATCATGAATTTCTTTTTTTTATTTCTTCTTTTAAAATAACTTACCATCACGTCGAGAAGAATCTAAAATTTATAAATAATTAATAATCATTTTTGAAAAACTATATACAAACCTTGTTTTTGATCTGAACCTGGTGAAAATGGTAGTGAAGAAGATGCTGATGATGGAAATGATAATGTTGCCGAAGGACATGTACAAACGCCCTAGTTATATGAAAATCTATATTAAAAAAAAACAATTTTTATAATTAAACCTACAGGTGGACCTCGAAGACCCATTTCACCACGTGGACCTGGAAATCCTGGTGGGCCCATTGGACCTGAATGACCTTACAAAAACAAAAAAACAATTGTGAATGACTTTATTTTGTTTTTTTCTTTAAACAACATACCTTGTTCACCTCGAATTGGTTCACCTCGATCACCTTTAGGTCCTGGAGCACCTGCTGGTCCAGTAGCACCGATTGGACCTGGCGGTCCTTTGATATATATTTACAATCGTACTTATTTAATTTTCATAATTATCTTACCTGGTTGTCCTTGTGGTCCCATAAGACCAGGCATACCAGGCAAGCCTGAATAACCACGTGGTCCTTGTTCACCTTTCGGACCTCGTAATTCTCAAAGAAAGTTAAATAAATATATATATATATATATATAAATATAAAGAAGAAAGTATTTCATATAATTTACCTTCATTTTCAGTAACTAACTTTTTACAATGATCAACTGATTTTACACAAAATGCTGTCATTGCTGCAGGCTATAATTAATCTATAAATATCGTCTTAATAATCAATTATTGCTTCCTACCGGTACTTTAAAATGAATTGAACCAACAAGTAGATCTGAATTTTGTTGTTCTTCTTGTCCTTGTTGTTGATTTTGATTTTGTTTTTGTTTTTGTTGCAGCTGTTTATTATGGATTGATTTGGTTTTGATTCGTGCATGTCTTGATTGACGACGCAATGCATCAAATCCATTTATATTTGTTGAAACTGTTATTTGTGCCGATTCAAGTGCTTCTAATCGTTCTTTAATAAGATTTAATTCGACATAAGTTGATTCCATATGATTTTGAACATTACGAGAAAAATGAACAAAATAAATTCCCCATGCTATTGTAAGACTAGCAATAAGTAAATATAAAACAATAATATGAAGACGTGATGATGTATCATAACGCATAGTATGTATTGATTTTTCTGTTGTCATATTTTGTTCTAATCTTCAAAATAAATCTTCAATAACAATATTATCAATAAGTTACAATCACAGAAATGATATTGACAATCAATATATATGAAATAATAAATAATAGATGTTAGATGAATCTTTAATGTTTTTTTTTCGAAAAAATACTTTAATATATGATAAATAGTTTATAAGTGATGCTTTTCTCTTTTCTAACCAACACAAATTACTTTGACACATCACATAAATAAATTTAATTAACAAATCGCGTCTATGACTCCTCACCTGATTTATTAACTTGCTGTTTTTTTTTTGCAATTAGACCGTAAAATGAAAAAAAAAAAAAAAGAAAGAGAGAGAGAGAGAGAGAGAGAGAGAAAGACACAAGTGTATATATATGTATTTATCAAAAAAACGATTGATATACTCTTTTCGCTCACTGCATTAATATAATGCATAACTCATTTATGTATATGTTCTGCATCATACAACACTGTCAAAAAAGAAGTCAAGACAAGAAGATGTAGATATTTTCTGTTCTCATGCGTACTCATTCTTTTCTCAAGCCCTCCAGCAAACATCTCTAATAAGTGCCTTTTCATATGTCGATGTATATATGTATATGGTTGGTTTGACTATATACAAAAAAAAAAGAGAAATGCATGCAAAACTCAATTGACAATGCACGAAAAACAAAGAAAGAAAGAAAAAGGAACTGGTGAACAGAAAAGAAAACGGTTCCTGTGGTGAATGGTACGAAAGAAAACAATAATCAGATATAAACATAACATTAACAATGACAGATAAACAATAAAAGACAATAGATAAATAATATCGAACTAAATGACTTAGTATACTATCTGAAATGGCACCTGAAAGCATTCAAAATACATAACACTTCGTTGCTTTTGAGTATAACATACGCATACAGTAAATTGATTTACTGATCACATCACCATCATCATTTGACATCAATTCTCAAGGTGTATGCTCTTCTTTACCTTTTCTTTTTTTGTCTACGCGTCAAAAAAAATAATAAATAAGCAAGATCTCTGATTACATTGTTGATTTTTGTCATTCAAATCCTATTCTGTAACCAATGAGCATAAATCAATGAAGAAATCCGAACCGTCTTTTTCTTTTCCTTCTCGTAATACATATTTAATGCACGCATACACACAAATGGATGCATGCTCGTGCTCTTCTCATTGACAATTAGCGTATATGCAATGTTAAGACAGATAACAGCGAAGCGTGTCACATCATCACCATCGGTATCCGCACTTAGTAAAAGGCATCCAGATCTCAATCTATCTTTCATCCATCAGTATCGCTAGCAAATGTTCTCGAAAGAAAAATAACGAAGCGACACAAAAACAAAAAAAAAAGAGTTAATAGATAAAAGTCCATCAATCTGGACAACGAGTATTTAGACGCTATTTTTCTACAATCGATTGGTCGTAAAAAGATGCACATATAGACAAAGAGATAACAAAGCTAATCTGTGTCGACTTCGTGTTGTTACTAGTATTGGTGTGGCAAGCAATCAGAAATAAGTCAAAGGATAGATTACAAATGTCACACTCTCAAGGCACGAACAGTAAGCATCAGCAGCTGTAATAGAAATCAACTAAACAACAGATTCTAGTTATTGACAATGATTAGAATAAAAAAAATAGACAACATATTTGCTTTTATTTTTATAGAACAAAGAATTCTAAATACTAAAGCAACAATCTATTGCATTTCGTTTTTCTTAACTTATATTTAAAATTTACATGCGATTCTTTCTATATGTATACAGAAATATAAGAAGAAAGATCGTCTTGAAGTAAATAAACAGGTGTTTTCAAGGGTTTGCTAATATCTTCTATTATTTTCTTACTAAATCATACAATCTAACAAGTATTAGACAGCATACATATGCTATACGCGGGTGATCGATTAGAAAGCGAATGAGAATAAGAGGAAAAAAAAAAGAAAAGACATTAAAACCGGATGTCTGATTACAGGTTTATATGAGCGAATAAAGTAGACAACTCATGGTTTTTTCTTTCTTTTGTAATATAAATGTATATGGAGAACAAAAAAAAATGTATGATCGATGATGGTTGCGTTTGAATATTAAGAAACTATATGTGTATATACACACATTTAGTTGCTATAAAGACATACACATACAGTTACATACAGAGAAAGTAGATCGTGTACATTTGTGTATATATGATTGAAGAGGCAAAGTGAATGAAGAAGAGAGTAAGAGAGACAGAGAACGCGATTTCTTTGGAGTGATATGACAAATAAATGAGAAGACCTACATATACATAAAACAGAGAGAGAGAGAGAGAGAGAGAAGAAAAGAGTAGTCAAGTCACTTGAACAACACTTCTCGAAACTGCCACATTGAATGATGATGTTATTGTTTGATTGAAAAAACTAAAGAGTCGAATACATTCTGTTTTATTTTTTAAAAACTTCTAAGAATAATTTTGTTTTTATGTTCAACAAAACATTCAGTTTATTACTCAACTCATCTCAATGATTGGCTTTTGATATTCTGTTTTACATATCTATATTAGTACACTAAATATCAAAGATTGCATGTAATTAGATATTTTCTAGCTCAATTTATTATTTCATACATGATAAAAAACACAAGAGAAAATCAATCGTTGTTTTCGAAATCAATAAATCAGTTGAATATATCTTCAATGAATATCTATCAGATGCATTCTTATGATGACATTAAATCGATTTCTTTTTTATCCAGTGTTATAGATTACGTGATAGAAAAAAGCATAGAGCGATGTACACACAGATAAACTCCTTTGAGTTTATACGTGTTATGATTTGCGTCTAGATCGATGGGATAGTAATGTTTAATATTGTCAAAAAAAAAATTGAGTATAAATACGATTATTTCATTTTATTAATAGAAAGAAAAAGAAGATTGAGCATCTAAAAGCAACGATAATAATATCAAGTCAATTGTATTACATACCGATTGCAAATATGACAGAGAAGGTAGGTATATCCTTTTTGTCAAATGATTTATTTCGTCATCAAAAAATAAATAACTTTTATGTGTCTTGCCTTTTTTTTTACAATACTTTTTGTATGTGTTTATATTCGTACAAAATCAATAAAATAAATGCATACGAGCTAAAATCATAAATAGTACGAAAAAAAAGACATAGTTTATTTGTAGTATTATTGTTTATGGCGCGAATGATTAATAAATATGATATGTCGTTTAACTAGAGTTTATTTAGATTATATTTATTTTGATATAAATTTCTTGTTTTGAATGTAAGATGAAACATTCCAATCATAAAGTTATAAGGACATCGACTATTTTGATGATTCAGTAGGCATTTCTTTTTTCCTTTAGGCGAAAATAATGTTGTTGCTGTCTACATTCATATAATTGAAAATGATTCTATGATATTTGTTAAATAATACAGAATACAGATCACTTGATTTCAATTGTCATTTTCAAACATAGATACACTTTTTTTATAAATTGTTCTTATATAATGTTGCGTCTAGCCATCGAAATAATGCTGTATTTTATTTTGCCTCTTTGTAATGTCTTGATATATATATTCCTTTTTTCTTTTGTAACATCAGATCAGATCTTAATGTAAACATTCATATTAACATTCTCTTTATTTTTCTAATAAATAATTATTCTTCTCTAATAAATAACTTCTTATACATTGTTATAATAATTTGTAAAACGAAAAAAAAGAAAATTCTACGTTATTGTTTCGACTTCAAGTGGATTTTCTATTGAAGGTTCTACTTGTTCAATAACTGGTTCTGGTATTTGATTAGATATGATTTCTATTGTTTGATTTTTTGATTCAATTTGATTATTATTATCAACTATTGATTCTGGCAGTTGTTCTGATTTTGTTACATTTTGTTTATTTTTTTTAGCAATTTCACTTATTTTTGTATTAGCACGTTCTACCCATGTAGTACCAATTCTTCTTATATGTTCATTTGCTTTCATCCAAACAATAATATATAGTATAGCATCAATTATATAAATAATATCACCACCCATTTGAATAGGACGAATAATAATATAAATAATATCAGTAGTTTTATTTAAATATGCTGTTGTAAAACTAGCAATAAATGATATAATTGGTTGAATAATATGTGCAATTAAATAAGTTATATTACCAACAAGATTAAGTAAATGTGCAAAAAATTCCACTGAACATTTTGATGTTTGTTTAGACACGCGTGGTATAAAAAAGTCAAGAATAGATTCAGCAAGATATGCTAACATACCAAGAATATTAAATACAAATGCTGGTATATCACTTAAATTAGTAGATTCATTTGTAGATGTTTTATTATTTTGAAAAACAGTTGCTCCTATTAAATATAATATACTACCAATAACATTAAGTATACAAGCAATTAATTCTAATCGTGTTTTTGTTGTACGTTGTTCAAACCAATCTATTGTATAAAGTAAAGCATCAATAACAAAAACAATAGCTAAAATAATTAAAACAATATAAGTAGCTGGTGAATCAACAGTATTTCGATTGATCAGATTGACTGTATTGATAGCAAGATAACCTAATGAGCCTAATGCATAAATAATATTACCAGCTGAGTACCACAAAAGTTTCATTCACAACTTTGTTGAATAAAAAATAAGAACGATTATCGAATGGAGTATTTTTTTTTCTTCATAAAAACTAATAAGTCGGTTACCGCGACAACCATCAGAACGAACAACACAACAACAACTAACATCAAAGGAAAAAAAACCAAAAAACAAGAGACGTTCAAAATATAAGACACGTTGTAACAGAATAAAATTAAAAAAAGATATTCAACGATTAAAATTTCTTTGTCAGAAGTTGAAAATAAAAAGAGTATATAAAATTTATCGAAATAATCTCTTATATAAGTTGTTTTAATTATGTAGTTTAATAAAAGAGGAAAAAATAGATATGTATTTAATGAATAAAAAGATTATTGATTTCTTGTTTTTGTTTTAGTCTGAAAAAAAATGGTTTAATGAAATGCTTTTAAAACAGAGGTTAACATAACCACATTTGTTTCTGATGTAACTGACTCAACACAAATGTATCTCTTGATAGTATATTTCTAAATTAAACTGAAGAAGAAGACTTCACTGCTATTATAAATTCATAACTTAAGGAAAGATATATATATGATAGTTTAAAAGAATCAAAAATTATTTGCTTGGAAATACATAATCCATTACATAAAATTTATTAATTTAATTGAAAAATATAATATATTTATTGTTAAAATGAATAGAAAATACAAGATCATTTTGCATTTTTAACAATCTCAATAAAACGAAATATCAGTTATATTTGCCTCGAGAAAAACAAATACTTTTGACTTCGTTGATTATTTACTCGATACATTCATGGAATATAATATAAAATTTCAAAATAAACTTTTTTTCTAAGTCACTGATTCAAAACCACTATCAATACTTGTAATTGTCACAGGTGATTGTTTACGATCAGCAACTTTCGGTGATTGTGATAATGGTTCAGCAAGTCCGACGACACGTTTAAGCATTGCTTGTAAAGACCATCGTTCTTGATCCAATATATATGATCCTATTGAGGATGATATAGTTGATGTATTTTTTGATGATATTATTGGTTGATAAATTGATATTTTTTGAAGTTCACAATCACCACTAGTTGATATTGATATACGACGATTCGTATCTACTGATGTTGTATGATTTTCATCAGTTGTTTTTGATATACCAGTAGAAAATGAATTATTTGCATTAACAGATGTTCCTTCTAATGTTTGGTGACTACGAGCTGTTGTTAAACGATTACGATTTGTAGAAGGTTCTTCACATTTTGTTTCTTTCCATTCATCAAATGCACTTTTAGCACGAGCACGAAGTAATTCTTGCTTATCTAAATCCATATCCTTTTGTTCACGTCTTTTTGCTTGAGTATATAATGTTTTTAAACAATATAATTGATAATTTTGTTTAGCCCATTCTGCATGTGTTAAATAACCTTGTTTATATGATTGTAATAATTCATGCCATCGTTTACTATAATAGTCAGATGAATATATACTACGTGATAAACGTTCAATTTGACGTTTTTTATCAAGCATTTGACGAAAGGTTTTTTCATGTGCTTGACAAGCATCTTTCGTATATATATCAGTTGATAACCAATTTGCTGATGAATATCGTTGAACTTCGAAACCATGACGACTGTTTACATAACGAATAGTACCATCGGCTATAGGTTTTTTAATATTTGAACTATTATCAGCTAATGCTGATTGAATAGATTGTGTTGTCGAACGAGAAGTAATCATATGAGAACGAGAAATTGATGAAGTGTTTCTTGATGATTTTCGATTTGTTGCTGATGATGATGATGATGATGATGCTGTTGGAAGACGAAATGGTGGTAGCGTTTGACGATTAGATAATAAATTTGTTTGTGCTTGACTATTATCAATTCCTGATATTATACCTGGTAGAGGCTATTGAAAAAAAGAATTTTATAGAATTAATTTTTGGTTTTTTTTAAACACAAAATTTAATAATTAATAAATCCTATTTGTCTTTTATATCAATCAAAGAAAACAAAATAAATCTGTATATTGTTTTATCAATAAATATAATTAAGAAAATTTCTATGAATATTAAGATAGAATATAATATAAAAGAGTGCTTTGGCATTTGCATTAATATGTTTCTTAATAGACAAATTTTCTATGGATTAATTATTAGTGACGTATGTTATAAAGTATATATATATGCTTCTTATGATTACTCTCCTTATATTTACTATTCATCAGTAAAGAAAGTACTAGAGAAAAAAATTAATATATGAGTCATATAAAAAGCTATTCATGACCTATACAGCTTCTTTTCAGTTAATATACACGCCCAAAATTTCTTAAATGAATGTCATATTGAACTTTTTTGTGTTTTTTTTCTTTATTGAAAGAAAAAAAGTTCGATATTTGACAAACTGGATCATTATTTATTTAATCTGTTTATATTTTGAAAGAATTTTTTTCTATTAGTATTATAAGAAGTTATTATAACACTTGACAAAATAATTTTCATGACAATGTTAACGATTTCAACTACAAATGAATTATATCTTATTAATAAATATACGTCATTTTTTGAGAGGGTTACTCTAATCTACTAAAGTTTTTCTCAGATTTTATTTTGTATTGTATTATCAATTTTTTTGATTTACGAGGGAACATTCCCAGGTGTTGGAACGCTTTTGAGTCGGGACTTTGCGCATCTTGTAGGCCTTGATGAATTATGTCTACCGTAAAAAAAAGTTTGTGCCCCTAGCTTGTTCCTAGTGAGATATCGAGGCTTTAGTGAATTTTTCCTATAAGAGCCCACATTTGCAGCAAAGCCATATTTTTGAATTTTGATCTGAAACTTTGCCCACATAAACACCTCAGCTAGACTAGTTTGCATAAAAAATTTCAGAACTTTTGGACAAATTCTCTCCGAGATATGAAGCTTTCAAAAAACGCATGCTTTATACGCTATCTATGGAAAACGGCTTATACGTTGAAAGCTTCATATCTCGGAGAGAATTTGTCCAAAAGTTCTGAAATTTTTTATGCAAACTAGTCTAGCTGAGGTGTTCATGTGAGCAAAGTTTCAGATCAAAATTCAAAAACATGGCCTTGCTGCAAATGTGGGGTCTTATAGGAAAAATTCACTAAAATCTCGATATCTCACTAGGAATAAGCTAGGGGCACGAACTTNATATCTTCTTAGATTTTCTCTTGTCTATACATCCCTATTGGTGCACAAAATTTCTGCTCAAAAGCCTTTTAGCACTTGAGACGGCTTTCTTGTAAGATAGACAATAAATGCTTCTTTTCTTATACTTTTCTTCCTTTGATTTGGTTAACTTATTTTAAGATTTGCCTCATAGAGAGTTAATTCTTACAGTCATTCTAATGAATAAAAAAACAATTCATGTCTAATGAAATTTATTTCTTCGATTAGTTTACTCTCTATTCGATTTTAATTCAATACCCATCATAGGAAGAAAAAAAAACTTAATTAATCTATTGACAATAATTAATACAAAATATTCAAATAAAGTCTCTTTCTCTTTCATACTTACTTAATTCATATGGATGACAAATAGCTGTAAAAAAGAAAATAATTCCCATAAACAGCAGAAAAAATACTGCTGTTGTTTTCCATGAACCATCAACCATTCTTACTATTGTACCAACAACAACAATCATCATAACAATAGCATAATATGTTCCAAATATAGCTGCACAAATAATTTTTTTTTCTTCCGTTATATCATGATAACAAATCATTAAAAATGCAATAGCAGGAAAACAAGCAAGTGTATATGCAGCCCATACATCAATATCAGTTGTTGCATTAAATGCATCAGCTATAGCTATTGTTATTGTTGCTGGACTTAATATATATAAAGCAAGATAAAAAACATGATAAAGTATAGCTAAAAATGAAACACTTTCATTAATACGTATTGTACGACGATAATTTTTAAGTATTGATACAGTTATACCAAGTGTTGATGGTATCCATCGACGGCGTTGATTAAAAAAATCTGTAAATGTTTCTGGTGCATGTGTATATGCATCAGCTGCGGCACAATATTCAATTCTATAACCTTGTTCAATTAATAATTTACTTAAAAATCGATCTTCACCTAAATCTTGTAGAAGATAATCTTCTGGTGATTCGCAACGTGCTGCAAATACTTTCATTACATTGTCATCCATTAAAGCTGATGCACGATATAATGCAAAACAACCAGGTGCACATAAAACACAACCAAGACTATGTTCAGTTGTTTTTTGTAACCAATAACACATAGCATATTCCATTTTCTATTTAACAAAAAAGACAAGGTATTTTATTTTAATCATTTTTCACTGTCGTGGGGTTCAAGTAGATCGACTTTACAGTTTTTCGTCTAGTACAACTCTTTAGTATATACATAATATCCTTATCAGAAGGATCATTAATAGGTCGAGCAGAGAACAAATACAACTATGGGTCTACATGAATCATGGAACATCAATTGTGTTATTGGTATAATTATTCGTCTTACTAAAACTACTGTCTGGTGTATCCGGATTGTTTTTCTAAATAGATATCGTTTGTAAGTTCATCATTCAGGGTAATGAATTACATTTTGTTTATACAGTATGAAATTCGTGACTGTCTCTTAGATCCAAACCATATAATATCGTTTTTGTCATTCGTTCGAATCGTATGAATTTGTTACAGGTGGTTATAAAAATGTAAGAGAAACTAACAACTGGTAACTTGTCAGACATGTAAAGAAAATTAGATAAGAATAGCTTCAACATCGTGACAGAGAAGTTATAATTTAAAACTTTTGAAACCGTAGAAACAAAAGGAAAAGAGAAAAATTTCTCCTCTTCATATCTATAGACAATGGCATATATATGAACATGTCAGCGTATTTTTACTGTTCTAGACTAAAGTGACTGGACCCATGATCTTTTTTTTCCATTATACTTCAATGTTTTTATGCAAACAATTTCAGACAAATTTTATTTGTAATATTTTATGTTCTTATATTGTTTCTATTATAGAGCTAACACATAAATCTTTATAAAATAATAAAGTATTTAGAGGTTGATAGTATATGAATGATTATCTTCAATAAAAGGGATATTAACAAAGGGTTGATAGGATGAGACAAAATAGAAAATTACCTGATACCATATTAATGGACCACTGCCAATAGGATGAATTCGACTACTAACTGCTCCAACTTTTTTATCTTTTTTCATTCGATCAATTAACATTCGAACTGAATCAGGACCAAAATCAACATCACCATCAACAGATAAAATAAATGTATTTTCTGCCTATTAAAAATAAAATAGAGATTAATTTCAAGATTTAAAAAAACAATATACTTCAAGTAATAAACGTGGTCCAAGAATATCTTTATAATAAACATGTAAATCTTCGTTTTGATCAAAATGTCTACGATAATTTCTTTTATCTGGTGAGTCTTCGATTAATTTAATTAATGATTTCATTCGTTGTTCACATTGACCAAGAATACGATAACCAAGTAAATAATACATATACATGACCTTAACATAATTTTTTATATCAAATAAAAGATAATATATTTAACTTACCATACTCCATCGTTTTTTCTTACTAACTTTAAGTTTATCTTTAAGATGAACAACAAGTAAATTTCCACCTGGTAATCGCCATGATAAGCGACCACCATAGGGTGTTGCTGTTTTTTGTGGTGGTGCTAATTTCATACCTTCAACATCATGAACAATTCTAAAGTAAATTTAATATTGAAATATTAATATTTTCATTTTAAATATATATATATGTGTCGATTTACCCAGCAGCTTTATTAATAGCTTCGAAAAAATCTTTGACAAACATATTTAATGTACGTTGTTGATTTTCATCATGATAAAATGCATCATCAAAAAAGACATGAGCTAGTAAAAGATAACAATCAAATCATTATTAGAGAGCATAATCAGTTTAGCAGTGGACAAAAGAAATTTTCTTATTAGTAGAAATCGTTGAGTTAGTATCGGATTCAGGAGTTCACCCAACAATGGTTCATACTCCAAAAACAACAGTTACTAATGACTTAATTATTATAAGATGATCGTCACAATTATCTGACAAATGTGTAACGTGTATCTGTAGCAGAATACAAATAATCAATAAAAACTATTCAATATCTTTGAAGCGACTATCATACTTAGACTAAAAATTTCATTCAAATTAGGAGTACAGTGCAGGTTCAGATACAAAAAAGTTTAATTAACCGAGTCTGGATGCAAAAGTTTTGAGCTCAACAGACTCTACTTATGAGACATGGAAAAAAATCTTCGAGTCAGACTATACCAGTGTGCTTTCAGAATATATTTATAATAAAACATTCTCAAATATCGAATATCAGTTGATTAAAAGTACGAGATTATTCTTGATTATTTTTTATTTCATATTTAAAAGAGATAGGACTAAATATTGCCATATTAATTTCGTTTGATTATGGTACGATGAACAATGGACAATGATATAGAATATTTTGCATTTTTATACAAATGATAACAAAAGTATATCATGTTTGATCTAAAACATTTCGAAGTTTTTTTATTCTGATAAAAAAATCTATTGATTATCAAAATAGTCTAATGAGAAAAGTCTTTCAGCTGATGGATTAATTTTAAGTCCAGAATATCTGCATGATGTAGAACCAAACGAGCCGTGAATATCCGGAGAAAAAAAAGCTTGTTAGTGCGGTCTATTTAGGGTTGAAATATGGAATTCACATAATTCCCATAAACTAGAACACTCGACAAAATTTTAAACTAGTTGCTAAGATCTGTAATGAGGAGGGAGGGAGCCGCTAAAACTTGACCTTAAAACTTACACTCATTATTCTCTTCGAAAATATATGTGAGTTTCACAAAAGTTTAAGTCCCTAGCTTGTTGCTGCCGAAATATTACACTTTTACATTAGAGTTTAAATCAGTGCTGTGGTTCTGTTCAGAAGCACCAGAAAAATTGATTTTCAAATTTTGATTTGAAATTTTGCATAGAAACCGAACTTAATCAGAATTTTTTTATTGTGAAAATTTCTAGTCTTTTGATTTACTTCTTTCCTGAAATAAGAACATAAAATCTGCTGGTATGTGTGTGATTATTGTAAAAGACAAGCTTTCATCGTAGTTGCATCGAAAAAAGGAACAGCAAAAATATCTACAATTTTCACAATAATTTATTCTTGACGAGTCCAGACTCTATGAAAAGTTTCAAGCCGAAATTCGAAAATCAGTTGTGTTGGTGTTTCTGAGCATGACAATAGCATTTATTTTAAACACTATCGTAAATTTGCAGTATCTTTTTAGAATTTTCAAAACTCATATGAGTCTATATGATGCACATAATTCTGACTCAAAAGCGATTAATCAGTTAGAAGACTTTTCTCGTAAGGTCATATGACATACACCAGTTGATAGTACTAGAAACCAGAGATAGAATCGGTTCAGATTTTTCAAAGTTTAAAGAGAATCGAACTTGAAGTTGATTTGAGATACTATGAACTGAATCGATCTCATTTCCACTAGAAACTAATTGGTCTTTTCCTGTATTCTCATTAAACTGATTACCTAAATAGATGACTTCCCCGAAAGCTATTATTTCTGTTTCCGAAAATATCCCTAAAGACATCAAATCTAAGCGAAAATCTATTCTAAAAATTGTTGAATATTTAATAACTATAAAATCAATTGTATAAATTTCGATTGAAATAAATAAAATATCTCTCATCAACATAATAAATTGTCTGAAATCATTTTTCTCACAAAATTTCTATTCAAATATAAAATATTTTATTTGTTTTTTTTCTAAATAATTTACACACCTTCCATATCATAATAATCTGGATCAATAACTTGAAATTCATCTCTCGCTTGTCTCCTTGCACTTTGATCAATATCCATTCTATCAAACAAAACAAAAAAGACAACAAAACAAATGCAAATATTTACATATTCCATTCGAATACAAAAAAAAAACCTTGTTCTCTTTTACCTCATAATGGATTTAAGCATAAGAATCATTTCACTAATAGTTTCATGCCATAGTGTTCCACATAAATAAATTTTTGTATTATTTTCTAATTTTTCATCTTCAGCTATGATAATAAAACAAAAAGAGAAAAAAACACGAACTTAAACATTTCATTCTTTTTTTTTTTTGTTTTATGTAATATTTTTTCATCATAGTTTTAATATTTGTCCAGACATTCAATCAAAAAGGCCATCATCTTTCTTTTTTCTCTCCACAAATTAGACGATCACACACATACACGTAAAGAAGATTATGTGTAAATATCTTTCTATCATACAATAGTCTTATGACATAGTCATCTATGATGTCAAAACAAATAAAAAAGCAAAAAACGAAGAGTCACTTACAAAATGCAGCCATTCCATCAATAATATCTAAATCTTCAAAATGTTCTTCTAATTTATTTTTTTGATGTTCTGGTTCATTACGACGTCGATTTAATAAAAGTGATTGTTCAATTAATGAACTATCATATTGTGGAAGAACAAATAATCTATTCAAAACCAAAAAACAAAAATCATTAAATACAAAATGGACATTTTTTTTTTGTATCTTTACGTTTCAGTTGTAGCTAAACGTTTATTTTCTGGAAACCATATATGTGATGTTATCCATAATTGTGATAAATACCATAGACATAAACCAATAATAATATGCCATGTTATACGTGTTGTATTTAAATTTTCACTACATTCCCAATACATTATTTCACGTATAAATACAATTTGATCAGTTTTCCATTGACATAAACCAATCATTATAGCTAATGTAACAGGTGTTGCTAATGTTAAGGGTACAGCAAATGCCATACGTTGCATTTGCATTTTACATGCTGATTTTGAAAAATAATAACAAAGACCTGTAGAAAAAAAATGAATTATCATAGGAACAAATGGTCCTATAGAATGCCAATAATCATCAATAGTTTTTTCCTAAGACAAAAAAAAAAATTTAATTCAATTATTTAATTAGGTAAAATATTTTTGTATACTCGATCTGGTTGAAAATCAAATGGATCAGCTGCTATATTTGGATCATCATCATTACCCGGAAATAAAGACATTTGATCTGCATTACCACCTATTTTACCCATTATTGTATTATTATCATCAGTAGGAAATAATGGCATTTGACGTTTATGTCGTACAGGTAAATCATTATTATTATTACCCATATCAAATTGATTTGATAATGAACCAGCATCATAATTATTTAAATCTGAACCTGTATGTAATGATGGTTCATTAAGTATATTATTTGTTGGATTACTATTAAATGATACAAATACATTTTCAAAACGTTCTTTTGGTAATAAAAGAAAACTAAATGCAACTGTAAGTGCAATTTTCCATATAGATGCACCTATATTTGCTTTTGATCGTACAGATTGTAAATGTCTTTTATATGTTCCTAATGGTATATTTAATTTTCCTAATTTAATATCTCTATCAACATAATTTTCCCACCATACTATTGATACACAAAATAAAGCAACAGGTGCTTCCCAACCAAAACGTATTTGTACTTGTTCAATTGCATCTGTTGTTGTTTTTATTGAATTACTTAGAGCTGTATTTAATGAATCAAATGTATCAGATGATAATGAATCACCAATAATTGTTGCTTGTGTTGTTGTTGTTGTTGATGGTTTTGTTAAAAATGCTGTATATTGTGTACTTGTTACAACAAAATAAACTGAACATTGTGCAGCAAATGCAGCCAAATCAATAAATAATGTTAAAAATCGTAACATTGGACGTGAATTACTTTTTGATAATGTTAATTTACAAAATGCTGGTATTGTACAAACAGCATTCATTAATAAAAGACCACGTATAACATCACAACTTGGTAAAACACGAAATACGAGTAAACAAACACCAAACGTATGAATACTCTCAAGAACAAATATCTAAATAGAAACAAATATATATATATGTATATATTGTTGTTGTTTATTTCATTTCAATTACTGTTATTAAATCTGTAAAAACGGGTCCACGTCGATTACGAAAAAGACTTTTTGCTAATGCTTCAAGAAAAAGAAATACATATGGAACACATATTGTAGCAACTAACATAAATGACCAACGACTTGCATATTGTTTTTCCTGAAAATAAAAATATTAGATTGTTGTTTTCTATAAATTTTATTATAGAATTAAACAATACACACTTGCAATCGATTGCCTAAACTTTGTGTCATAAGAAGAAATGAACCTTTACTTGCAACAGCAAAGACCAAAACACCAACAAAGTATACCATATAAGCAGCACATTTAAATAAACGTTTTGCATTACGCATACATAATGTTGTTTTTCCATATCGATCAGCTGGTGATTCCAAAATGCCATCACCATAAGGCATTGTTAGAGATTTAGTCTTATAGAGTTACTACTGACGTAATGGTGTACACAACGAAAAGAAAAAGAAGCTCATTGTGTGATTGAGCAAAGTAGAAAGAGGGAGAGAGAGAGAGAAGTAAAAGGTTTGTCGGATTAAAACTAGGTAACAAAAATTTGTTGTCTCTCTCTCTATCTATCTACGGCTCTAATGTAACGAGGGAGAGAGAGAGAGAAAGACAATGTGTTCAGTAAAAAGAACAGGAAATGTACAGCACGACGATAAAGACAACGACAATGATCAGATCCGTTTGTAAACAATCAAAAGAAGAAAAAGAAAGGAAAAAACCCGCTTGTATATGTAGTTTACCTCGACTTGATGATTGAGAGTAAAACACAATGTGAAAGAGAAAAAGATACTACTCTTCACATTATGCAAACATAAAAACTCCTCCTCCGATCTATTAGACAGGGGCGAGAACAAACTAATTAGACAATGTATAAAATAGGAACAACAAAAAAGAAGAAAAAAAAAAAGGTTTATAAATACTATTCAAATAAATGTCATTCTAGAAGATAATTCTTTTCATTTCATAGAAGAAAATTAAACTTAAAAATAAAAAATATAAATAATTTTCTTCTAAGTTATATTTAATTATTAAAGAAAAAAAAATATTTTCTTTAGTTTTGTCTTATCTGATAAGTTAAATAATTAAATTGAGATTAATTTTCTTTTTTTGCATCAATTTTAAATTCTATTAATTTCTTTCTTTTCGATTTATGTCAGATTACAATATAAGTGTATGTCATTTATTTTATACAAAAAAAAGAAAGAAGTCCTGTTTTTTCTTGATCTTCATTGACCTATTTATTTTTCAATGGCAACATGAACTTCTTATTATAAAAATTTTATCTTGTTATAATGTAAATCAGATTTCATACTGCAGGCAGTGTAAATGTAAAGTGTATTATCTTTTAGTAAATTGAATATTTGCATGTTGTTATAATATTTTTCATATAAATGATAGATTCTATTTATAAACAAATACAGCAACATCTTATGTATTATTAGATACTTAAAATAATATCGAATTTTGATTGTTTCGATATTCAAAATAAAGAAACTAATGTGTTTTTTCGTTCTATGCCATAAAATTTATGCATGATTATATGAGAATAAATCAATTATTCAAAGATCATGCGGAAATTATTGAAGACAATAGAATAAAAAAGACGATGTATTAATATTGATATTAATAATTATTGATAGAAATATTGAAAAGAAAAAGAAAGAGTAATTAAATATGAGAAAGTTTTGTAGAATCCTCTGAAATCGGGCGAACTTTATTGGTTTTTACTTTTTTTTTGATAATCACTATTAGTTTTCACATGGGAAAAATAATATTTATACAGAATGTTCTTCAAGTCATTCATTATTATTTCTAATTATTACTAATCTTTAATATGTGTTATCTTCAATTTCCAGATAGATCATATATCACAAAAAAAAGAAAGAAGTTAAGTAAAAAAAAACTGAAATAACAAAAGGTTTCGTGTAAACTTTAAACATCTTTATAAATTATCATGAATTCTTCTTTTCCTTCAAGTTCTTGCCTCAATTGATTGTACGCAAATAAGCGTAATTTTGTGTTTATAATAGAATGTCATTTCTATTCTTTATATATATATATATAGATATATATTTTTTTTCCTTTTCTTTTCTTTCCTGAAAGTCACTCTTTATTTGCTATAACAAGTCGTTTGTTTTTTATCAACATCGTTTATTCTTTTCTTCTTTTTTTTTGTTTTTTGTCGTTGTTTTTGGTTTTTGTTTCTAACAAACTTTTTTTTTACTCTTAACATTATTTGTAACATAAACATAAATGGTATGAAACTTTGATTGATCTCATATGATCGATTTAATATACTTAAAGATTTGAATACTTTACTATTTATACAAAATTAGCTGAGAGAAATATGTTTTTTTTTTAAGAGAAAAATATCACAACGAAAAATGACTAGCTAGTAAGTCAAGAAAGAGAAGAAAAAAAGATGACTGTTTTTGACTTATCTAGGCGTAAGACAGAAAGAATACTTGAGATAATATCCTGTTGATGTAGTTCAACAAGCAAGTGACACTATCGACAACAGACAGGCAGATGGGTTTATGAAGCAAGAGGAACGGATGAATAACTCGATTTTCTTTAATTGAATCATTGTGTCAGTGCGTGTGCTTGAATATAAGCACACACAAAAAAAGAACCGATCAAGTCGAACACTAAACACATAGTGAAACTATTGGCATAAATACGTATGATGAGATATATAGAAAAAGAGAAAACAAGGAAAACATCAATCATATTTCTAAATATGTTCTGTTTTTTCGATTGTTTTATTTGAAACAATAAATGTAGTCTTTCATGCAAATATGAGTAAATAAATTCGTTGACATAGACAACTAATAAGAAAAATAATCATTATAATTATATAGAAGTTTTGTTTAACTTATTTTTTTATGCGCGCAACAACATTCATTCTTCGTTTTTTAAGTGAATGTGCGTCCTAAACCTTGGTTAGAATGCGCATGTCTGCCTCTTTTTTTCCATCCGACTACCGACAATAGGAATTCTCTGTCGACCCTCCCACCCCGTTTGATGCACACGCACATAACAGCGAGCAAGAATAGTGCGGGAAGAACAAAAAACGTAGTATGATTATTCATTTTTCTCTTTTTCATTAGTTCTTCGAACTACTCGTCATCACATCAAGCGGGTGGGAAGACGGTTGAACGCGTTCGTCTTACTCACGTATTTGTTACTATTACTACTATTATTATTATTATTATTATTATTATTATTATTATTATTATTATTATTATTATTATTATCGTTGTCGCCGCCGCTTATGGCATTCTTTTCGATAGAAAGAAAATTTGTTATCTCTTTCTTTTTTATTAGATTCAGATCGAGAAAGTATTGAAATTGATCGGACGCGATAGTTCTTAGATGAATAGTTTGCTCATTGAGATGAGATTTATTTTTCTCCTTTCTTTCTAGTACTATTTTGTTCCGTTATTTCTTCTTCTACTTTTATTTTATCTCTATTCATATATATATATCTAATATCTTTTTTTAGAACGATGTCAGATTTTGCACAGAATTTGATGAAAATGGTGCAAAGATAATAATGATGTTGAACATCATTCCATCGCACGCATGATATTCTCTATTGAAATGGTGCATCATTCTAATTGAATGTTTGCCTATTTCTGGCCAAAGTTTGATACACATGTAATACGTATACTTGACGATGCAAAGGTAAGTTTCATTATCTTGATTTTAAAACTGTTATTATGATTATTTGAAATAGAATAATCATGAACATTTTTCTTGCTCCTTTATATATATATATTTATATGTGTTGCAACTTATTTTTCAAAGCTGATTATCTTGAAAATAAGTAGTCGAGCTAAAACCTATCAATAGGAAATATAATAGGCAAAGAAAAATACAAATAACAGGAAAGGCTATTGCTCCTAGGTTTATATTTCCGAAAAACTTCCTCTTTTATGCTTTCAAACTGTATGTAAACATATTTGTTTCTGATCAAGAGTGACATCTGTAGAAAAATGATTTCAAATTGTCTAAAAATAACTGAATGATATATAACGATTCTTACAGTAGAAATGAATAATAATTAATATAATATTCCTTTGATGATTCAATTGATTGAAATTCTTTGTTTGATTAGTTAATCAAATATTAGATGATGATTCATATAAATCTATCGTTTTTTTTTCTTGTTTCTTATTATATTGTATTTTGATCAAAAAGTTTTACTTTCTATCTTTTGAATAAAATTTAAAAAAAAAAGAAAAGAAAAGAAAAATGATTAATTCTGTTAACAGTTTTGCATCATTGCGTGTTGTAAGTATTTATTGATAAAGTAATTATTCATATATAATTGACTACTTTGCTTTGCTAACTGTTTTTTATCGAAATACTTTTTTAGTTGTCAAGTTAAAATGAATTCTTTTGTTGCATGTCACAGCAGCGAGTTCCTTTTTTTCTTTTTCTTTTTTTTACCATCATTATTATTATTATCTTCTTCTTCTTCTTTTCTTTCCTATCGTGCTAATGAGCAAATGTAACAAGCGCAAATCTCAGTCTGCTTCTTATGTACTCACATAAGAGACACGAACACTCATTGTCAGGCATATACACTTGCCGCAGCTTTAAGTCGGCGAACTCTATCTTTTTTTTTCTTTTTTTTTCCCCTCCCTTCTCTTCTCTTATTTCTTATAGTAACCGTTAGCGTCCCATTCCCGTGTATTGTAGCAGAAAACAGGCGAGGACGACTTACAATACGCTAGAGTTCAAATCAAATGCGTTGTGTACTACGCTATGTGAAGATGAGAGCAGGAAAAGAGCAGTGAGAGAAAAAAGAAGAAAATCGATCAGAATAGAATCGAGAAGAGAGAACGATTTTGCTTGTTTTCTCTCGTCTCTTCAAACAATACAACCAACAACTATCGTTCATGGTTATTCTTATCGTCACATCGATGAATCGTCATTTATTCAGTGAAGTTCTCAAACAAATATCATCAAAACTCGATCAATTAAAAGCTTTTCTTTCTTCTACCGCTCATCTCAAGGTAACAAAACAGAAAAAAGATCGAAAAATAAAGAAGCAGAAAATATTGATTTATTAAAAAAAAAAAAAAAAGAAGAGGAGATTTGCATTCAAAATATGTATCTAATTTGTTTACTCAAGGGGTAAAGAGAAAGAAAGAAGAAGAAGAAAAAAAACAATTCTTCTTCGAATCTTATTATTCTGCAAGAAAAATCTTGACATGCTATATTCAGATGTGTAACAGTTAGCATAACTTATGCTCGTTTTAGGTTTTTCTATATATATATATATATTTTGTAATTCTGTTAAATCAAAAAACATAAAAGCTCCGGATATGAAAGGTGATCATGGCAGAAAAATGAACGCAACAATGAGAAAAATATATCCAATAAA